AGGTCTGTGTTATTGTCACAAGTGTACACAAATACTGAGAATGACTGCTGAGGGAGTGGTCCCCATTGGTGGTGACCTACGGAAGAGACCAGGTGGTCATGTGTTTCCTCATGGCCTAGGCAATTAGAAGGCAAGAGCTCCTAAGATTCCATGGCACCCCCACCTTCTAATTCTGTTATTGTGACTCCAGACCATTACTTGGCACCATGGGTCCTACCTCTGGCATTCCTATCAGAGTCTAAGCTACAGGCAGTACCTTAGACTCTGAGCTTAGGCATCTTTGCCTTATTTTGTGGTTAAGGATTCTCAGAGTTGTGGAATGCTAACAAGGCTTATCCCAAAAGTAAGTTGTGAATCAAATCTGCATTCTTGATACCTGTTTAAATCCTTTTTTTAACATAAAGAAGTGAGGTATGATTAACATACTACAAAATTCACCCATTACAATCCTACAGTTCAATGATTTTTAGTAATCTACCCAGGTAGTACAACGATCACCATAATCCATTCACTTGTTTTTAATTTATCATTTGTTTGGGTTTCTTCTCCCCAGGCTCTGGCTCTACTTCTACCACAAGCTTCAGCATGGCAGTACCTCTCACCACTTTTTCTGGTCAGAGGGCAGAAATGAGCATCCTGGAAACCAATCGGTATTTGCGCTCCCAGCTAGAAGAAAGCAAACAGAAATTCCGAGATCTCACAGAGAAATACCTCACATCCACAGCCACGGCTTACTGCCTGGCCAACCACCTGCAGAAATACAGTTAAGTCGTACGGGATCATGGTAACCAAAGTGATCAACAATCATCTATCTTTCCTCTGAGAAATGGAACACTCTACAGACTTTAGTCTTCTCTCTTCTTCATCAAAATTAATTTTATCCTGACTATACTCCCCAAAAAGTAGAAGTGGGTATTTCACTCTTAATTTGCGGAGGATGAAAAACTGATGCACAAAGGAGTAAAGTTTGCAGGGAGAGTGCAGAGAGGAATAGAGACTAAAATCTTGGTTCAGGCACTAAACTCTTTTCTTTCTCGGGAATGTGTGTCAGCTTCTATAAACATATAACATCACTGTTGGCTTAAATATCTCAGAATTGAACTAAGACTTTTACTCAGCACCCATTTGCAAAACAGTGTGTCAATAGCACCAGGGGAGAAAGAAGTAATAGTACATCCTGTAACAGAGGGGATGACCTGGGGAAAAAAAATGGCAAAAATATTTTCTGTCTCTTTAAAACTCCCCCCCCCCCTCTTTTGGAGAACTGCAGCCTGCATTCCTGCCTCAGGCAGATGGTCAGGAGGGGCTGGGGAATCATCCCAGGCCCTGGTGCCAGCCTCTCAGGTGGGCAGCTGGCAGAGGTCACAGGCTTTGTCTTTGGCAGAGATGGGACAATTAGAATAGTTACCACAATAGCATAGAACTTAGGGGCACTGCCTTTAAAAGCTCTGTATTTCTGCTAATGTGTAGGAAATTTGGATTTTGAGATGAGAAGGTCTATCATTTTTTCCTCCTATGCGGGTGAAGTAATAAACTTCTCTTTCCTTCTCCTCAAACCACTTGTTCTTGTTCTTCTGATATGGCCTCAAGGACAAGTGCCGAGCTTTCACTAACAATTCTACTGTGAACTAAAATAAAATCTTAAGCTCCCCCCCCCCAGTTGACTGAATGGATCCCCGTTGGCTAAGGGGGTACCCTAAAACTGAGTTACTGGCCATGGGAAAGGAGGTCAGGCATGCTTCATCATACCTCCCTCCCTTCTTGTAGATACTGTTTGTAACACATTAACAGGCCTAAGGCTATGCAAGACAAACCTGAAGGTCCTCAATTTACATAACAAATCACTTGAGTCTGGGTATTTGGCCAGAGGCTTGTATCTGATTAACAGACTTCCTTGTCTTAACTTAAAACATCCCAAGACTTTAGACAAGCTTCACTTCTTTAACCAATTACAAATCAAAGAGTCTTTTTTTTTTTTGAGACAGAATCTCACTCTGTTGCCTGGCCTAGAGTGCCGTGGCGTCATCCTAGCTCACAACAACCTCATACTCCTGGGCTCAAGCGATCCTTCTGCCTCGGCCTCCGGAGTAGCTGGGACTACAGGCATGCACCACCATGCCAGGCTAATTTTTTCTCTATATATATTTTTTAGTTGATCCAGTTAATTTCTTTCTATTTTTAGCAGAGACGGGGTCTCGCTCTTGCTCAGGCTGGTCTCAAACTCCTGAGCTCAAGCAATCCACCCGCCTCAGCCTCCCAGAGTGCTAGATTTACAGGCGTGAGCCACTGCGCCCAGCAGATCAAAGAGTCTTTAAACCGGCTTATAACCTGTAAGTCACCCCTGCCCTTGAGATGTGCCACCTTTTTGGGCCAAACCAATGTACACCTTCCCTGTATTGATTTATGACTTTATGTGTAATCTCTGTCTCCCTGAAATGTATAAAACCAAACCGTAACACAACCACAGAGAGTCCCCTTGCTCAAGGTTTCTTGGGCATGATTCTGGGCCATGGTCCTCGAATTTAGCTCAGAATAAACATATTTAAATTATTTTACACAGTTTGGCTTCTTTCTGTTGACACTACCAGCCTTAAAGAGCTTAAATCTATTTGTTTCCAATGGAGTCACAGATGTCTGGAGACAGGAATTTCAATAGCAGACACAGAGGGAAGCCTTGATACCTGGAGCAAGGCTGTTTTCCCACAGAAGTTCATAGAAGCCATTCCTCACCCTTAGCTTGAGGGTGTTTCCAGGAAAATTGAAGACACTATAACACCCTTTCTGTTTCTCCCTGAATATAAACTTTGTAGATAGCAAGCAACTCCAGGTGGACCTCCAGGATCTGGGTTATGAGACATATGGCCAAAATGAGAACAAGGCCAAGTGGAGGATTCTGCCGGTCTCAGTAGCCGGCCAAGCCAGTGTGGGGGCTGGTCCTTTCTTCTCCACGGTCAGCTTCCACATTTGGAAATTCACTGGAAAATCCCAAATCTGTTAAAAATTGGTGGGGAGGGGGAGATGTAATGACTGAAGGAAATATGGGAATAAGGGCACAAGAGCAGCAATACTAGAGGAAGATTCTTGCTAACATTGAAGTTGAGTTTGCTTTCCAATGTCTACAATTATTTTTCAATAAATCAATGGGGAGGCACAATTTGCTATCCAACTTACTCTCATAGACAGAAAAGTAGAAATTAAAGCCTACTTGTTAAAGAAGCAAAAACAAGGGTGTGGAAAACTTAAGGGTTTTTAAACATTCATTATAATCATAGTATAATTGTAAGACAAAATTTTTTCAAGCTGGAGGAGAAGATATCACCCAAAACCTTAGTATAAAGGTAATATAGTGCAGTGATTAAAAAGCATGGACCATGGTGTGTGCCTGTAGTCCCAGCTACTTGGGAGACCAAGACAGGAGACAGGAGGATTGCTTGAGCCTGGGAGTTTGAGGCTGCAGTGAGCTATGATTGGGTTACTGCACTCTAGCTCTGGCGATAGAGTGAGACCTTGTCTCAAAAAAAAAAAAGAATGTACCCTAGGGCCTAGGTATATACTTCCTGGGTTCAAATCTAACTTTTTTATCATCTCTGTGTCTCGGTTGCCTCATCTGTAATGATGGTAATAGAGTACCTACTTCCTCACATGATGGTGACAATTCTTGAAAATCTACTAAAATAGTGCCATGGCAAACATTGTGCATTGGTTCATCCTCTAACTTAATGCAATGTCTGTTAGTATTTGGGTATGCATCTTTTAGACCTTTTTCCCTCATATCCATTTCTCACACAGTTGTATCCAGGTCAATTTTTAAATCTTTGAAATATCTGGGGATCATTGAAACTCTCAACGCAGGAGAACCATCAATCTTACGGTCCTTAGTGTCCACCCAAACACACAAGAAATCACTGTTTCATGTCCCATGTTAAAGTTAAGAGTCTGCAAGTCTGCAAGGGCTTGATAAAGTGGCCAGAGATTTGGAGTCAGACCTCAGGGGATGTGAATTCTGACTTTGCCTCATTCCAGTTGAATCATCTCGTCAAGTTACTTTATCTGCCTATGAGCTTTTCTTCCCTTATCGATACAATGCAGAATAGTCGGGAGACTGGGGAATCAAGATGCGGAAATTCCAGTGTAGAGCCTGGTACTGTGATTTCTTTTGTTCCTGGGATGGACCCTGCCTTCTCCCCTGTAGGCAGTGAGCACAGCAGCAGGTCCAGCTTGCCACTTAGGCAGGTGTGTCTGTCTTTTCTCAGAGTGTGAAGAGTACAAAGACCTCATTGAATCTGTGCTGGAGGAGGAGCTGCAGTACGAGGAGAGGGAGCTGGTGGAGAAGAGGCCAGCTGCAAGGCTCGGGTAAGGACGTGCCTGTGTAGGAAGTGTGCAAATTCTGTTTGAAATGTGACAGCCCAGGGCTGTCCAGAGTGCCCTTAATGATAAAAATATTTCTTCCCTCAGCTTTTTTTTTAAAGTATCATACTATATGGAGTATTAATTGGTAGGGCTATTAGGCAGATAGATGACTGAGCAGCTTTTGTCTGGAAAATGAATTATTCATTTACTCAGGACCAGCACTGCCCATCCTTAAACGGTTTCAGACGTGGGGTAGATTACGGCATTCAAAACGTTTTTTAACCCTTCATTGAAGTGAAATCTTAGAAGCTCAAATGTATAAAACTCATTAAAGCAGAGATACTGATTGACGGGAGCATAGGTCTGAAGTTCCTGTTTCTTCTCCCCAGTATCTGCCTTCACTTCTCATGACTCTGTCTAGGAACTCTAGAGATTAGAGTTTGAAAGACAATAACTTCTTAGTAGGACAGTAGGGAGGCAATTCAAGCATCAGATTGTTATCAAATCTCAGCACTTGGCCTTGAGGCCACATCAGAAGAACAAGAACAAATGGTTTGAGGAGTAGGAAAGAGAAGTTTATTACTTTGCTGGCAAAGGAGGAAAAATGGTAAACCTTCTCATCTCAAAATCCAAATTTCCTACACATTAGCAGAAATACAGAGATTTTAAAGGGAGTGCCCTTCAGTTCTACGCTATTGTGGTAACTATTCTAATTGTCCCATCTCTGCCAAAGACAAAGCTGTGACCTCTACCAGCTGCCCACCTGGGAGGCTGGTGCCACAGCCCGGAATGGCTGATTCCGCAGGCCTCTCCTGGCCACCTGTCTGAGGCAAGAATGCAGGCTTCAGTTCTCAGAGAGAGTGGGGGATATTTTAAAGAGACAGAAAATATTTTTATTATTCTTTCAGGCCATTCCTTCTGTTATAAGATGGAGCAGATGACTGTAAATGTTTAGTCCAGCTTTGGGATTACATGGTTCTAAGTCTTACCTGAATGCCTACTTACATGTGTACACTCTACAGGGTGCCGTGAGTTGGGTAATACTTATACTGTTGTTAGCCTCACCGAGCTCACATTCCATATTGGAACCCATGAGAAATATTTATGTAATAATTATAAAACAATGAAATGCCATGTACAGTAATGCAATTGTTGCTCAGAACTTTATTTACTACAAATTGTCTCCTTACTGATTATGGCTTATCTTCATGTCATTCAAAAGAATGTTATCTTTCTAGGCCGGGTGTGGTGGCTCACTCCTGTAATCCTAGCTCTCTGGGAGGCCGAGGCGGGCGGATTGTTTGAGCTCAGGAGTTCGAAACCAGCCTGAGCAAGAGCGAGACCCCATCTCTACTAAAATTAGAAAGAAATTAATTGGACAACTAAAAATATATAGAAAAAATTAGCCGGGCATGGTGGCGCATGCCTGTAGTCCCAGCTACTTGGGAGGCTGAGGCAGGAGGATCGCTTGAGCCCAGGAGTTTGAGGTTGCTGTGAGCTAGGATGACGCCACGGCACTCTAGCCTGGGCAAAAGAGTGAGATTCTGTCTCAAAAAAAAAAAAAAAAAAGAATGTTATCTTTCTTGACCCTTTCACTGTTCTTTTTACCTTTCAATTAACACAAATGCACCTGTCCCACACTTCTGTACCTGGCTTTTTTGGCCATTTTCTGCATAATACTTGATGTATATTATAAGGAAATGGATTTGGGCTAAAGTGAGGAACTGAAGGGGCATCCTTTCAAACCAAAGTCAGTAAAAAAACAAACAAACTCAAGGCTATTTTCTCATTCCCTCTGCCACAGGCAAGTCACACAACTTGCACAAGAATTCAATTTGGGAAGTTCCTTAGGGGCATTTTAGGAGATGTCTCTGCTGAAATTCCTGTAAGCTGACATTCACTGCATTCACTCTTACATTTTACTCTCATTTCCCACCTTAGGAAATATGATCCCCTAATTCAGGCTCAAGCCCAAGAACTGACCAACTTACAGCAGAAGATGCAGGAAGGGAGAAGTTTCTGCTACCTTTTCACCCAGCATGTGAAGAACACAATCAAGTCTTTTGAGAGCCTTCTCAGGAACACTGACATTGCCCACTACCAGGGACAGAGACTCTGTGAGCAACTGGCCCAAGGAAGCCAGCTGGCCGAGAGCCTTGCCAGCAAACTCACAATGAGTAAGTTGACTTCAGGTTCCCCCCAAGTCCCCCAAAGGAGAGAGGAAAAAATGTGAAGTTGTCCTCCTTGTAGATTATTATATTAGTTTTGATTATGATCCTTAATCTGCATGCTATTTTCTTTTCAGAGCACTCAGGTAATTAGTCTTAACATTCTTTCTAGAGCACTTAGTTTTAATCAGCAAGAGAGAGTATAGTTGGCTTACTTCATCTTGATGAGCATAAAAAGAACTCGCCTTCATTTCTGGAAGATATTTTCATTGGATGAAGTATTCTAGGTTGACAGTTTTGTTTTTGTTTTTTAGAAATACTTTAAAGGTGCTATTCCACTGTCTTCTGCTTACATTGTTTTCAATAAGAAGTCTGTCGTAATTCTTTTTTTTTTTTTTCCTCTGTACATAATATATCCTTTTTCTCTGGCTGCTTTAGAGATTTTCTATTCATCACTGGTTTTAAGCAATTTGATTTGATGAGACTTTGTGTAGCTTTCCTATTTATTCTACATATTATTTTACTTGGTTGAATTTATCGCATCTGTAAGTTTATAGTTCTCATCAAATTTGAAAAACTAATGGCACATATATATCTTCTCTCTGTTATTTCTCTCTCTCCTCTCCTTTAAAGACTCTAATTACACTTATATCAAGTCTTTGGAAATTTTCCCACAGCTGACTGATGCTCTGTTCATTTTCATTTATCCTTTTTTCTATGTTTCATTTTGAATAGTTTCTATTTCTATGTCTTCAAATTCATTAATTTTTCTTTGGCAGTATCTAATCTGCTGATAATCCCATCCCATATATTTTTCATCCCAGACATTTTTTCATCTATTTAAGTTTAATTTTGGTCTTTTTAAAGTCTTCCATGTATCTCCTTTTCATCTCATATTTTCCTCTCCCTTCTTTAACACAAGGAATGTAGTTATAATAGTTGTTGCAGTATCTTTGTCTACAAATTCTGTCATCTGTGTCTTTTCTAAGTCAGTTTAAATGGATTGATTTTTTTCCCCTCCTCATCATGGATCATATTTTTCTGTTTCATCATAAGCCTAGCATTATTTGGTGCCAGACATCGAGAATTGTAACCTGTTGAGTGTTGGATTTTTTTGCATTTTGTGTATTTTAAAATATTTCTAGCTTTGTTTTGGCATACAATAAAGTTACTTAAAAATAATTTGTTTCTCTTCAAGCTTGTTTTAAATTTTTTTTTAAGTAGGACAAGAGCAGTTATTAGTCTATGGCTAATTTTTTCCCATTAAAGAGACAAAATTGTTTTTTAAAAAAATAGACCTTATTTTTTAGAGCAGTTTTAGATTCACAACAAAATTGAACAGGAAGTACAGAAAATTACCTTATACCTCCCTGCCCCCACACATATATAGCCTCCCCCACTATCAACATCTCCCACCAGCATGGTACATTTGTTACAATTGGTGAACTTAAATTGACAGGTCATTATCACCCAAAGTCCATAGTTTACATTCCAGGGCAATACTCTTTTGACCAACGTCCCCTTTATTAAAAGGTTTTTTACTCTAACTGGTGGAAAATCAGCTGTTGCAAGCTGAGTATAAACTCCAGAGATTATTCCTTTTGGTAAGTTCTTCCCATGTTTTGCATAATTTCCTCACACACATATTAATCAGTACTTAGCTGAAGATTGAAGACAGATGTTCAAGGCATTCTCTCTGTGCAGCAATTTCCTCTCTAGTATTCTGTCCTGTGATGTCTAGCCAACTTGACTTCTTTGAAGTTACCACCAGGATCCTCCCTCTTCTGCAGATTAGAAATCTCAGGCAATAAACTGGAACAATTGTAGGGCTCACCTCCTTTGTTTTCTTTCTCGCAGGGATCACTGTACATTGCATACTATCCAATATCAAAAGCTATTAAAATACTTTTTCCAGTGTTTTCATTGTTTAAAGTGGGAGGACAAATCTAATCCCTATCACTCCACTTCCGCCAGAAGCGGAAGTCTCCATACAATCTGAGTAGGCAGAAAGGAGAGTATGACAGGAGACAGCTTGTTATAATGGAAAGAGCCCTGGACTGAGAATCAGAATTACCTAGGTTTTAATATCAGCACCGTATTCACTAACTTTGTGCACATGATTGATCCTTCTTGAATTTCTGTTTCCTCATTTATAAGGTGGGCCAATCTTAATTACATGGTTGTTGTAAGTAATGTTCATGGGTGTATTTCTCTTTGGGGGTTAGTTTAGGCACTGAACGTAGTAGAAACTGGTGTTGTAAAAGTTGATTTATACCGGAACACTTTTCATAGAAAGAATTACCCCCTGAGAACATCTAAGGAAGTACAACAGGGACAGACTTGTATGTGCCTGGGTAGTCCTCTGGTTTTGGAGCAGAGGTAGGACAGGGTTATACATCCTCTCTTCAAAGGCAGGAGTAGGTTCTGTGTGAGAGCAGTAATGGGACACAGTCATGGTCTAGCAACCGGCCTGTGGCAGGTATGAAGCTTACAGCTGGAGAGGCCCAGAAGGCAGGCAGGCAAGTATCCTGGGAGCTGAGGAACAAAAGACATTTCAAGCCAGGTGCGGTGGCTCACGTCTGTAATCCTAGCTCTCTGGGAGGCCGAGGCGGGCGGATTGTTTGAGCTCAGGAGTTCGAAACCAGCCTGAGCAAGAGCGCGACCCCGTC